CCCACCGCGTGAGGTGTGCGAGGGGCTGCGGCTTGGCTTCCCGGGGGCACCGGCGAGGCCACCGAGGGAGGCGGGCACAGCCCGCGCCGTCCTCCGCGACACACCGTCCTCGCCACGTGCCCCTCTGCTGTCCGGGTCTGTGTGCCTCGGCTGCGGCTTCTGGGGTGCTGTACCCCGACGAGTCTAGGAAACGGGTAGCCGCCCAGCGCCTGCCAGAAGTCAATGCAGTTGTGAGGAAGAACAGGCTTACTCAAACGTCTTTTCAGTTTTAAGAAGTGGCTCTAAGTTACGGCCACATAAAACTAAAGCAGCTGGGGAATTACTGGACCGTTTCCTTGAGTGAGTCCCCAGAAGTCTTGGATGAAAAAGCTACAGACCTGTCAGATGAGAAAACGGTGCTCGAGGGGAAGTGACAGCAAAGCTATGGCCGAGAGAAACCTTCCTGCGATGTAGCTGAGGCGCGTTTCAGAGTAGAGCTGGAAGGTGGAGGTGGATCAGAAACCACGAAGGCCGAGCCCTAGAGCAGTGCCCGACAGAGGGGTGGTCAGTTCTCCGTGCCCTGCTGTCGGTCACTTCTGTCACTCGCTGTTGTTGCACAGCACTTTGTCACCCAAGAATAGGATAGTATGACACTTGGAAGAAAAATGTCAGGCGCAAGGGGCCTCTGGTCAACCCCTGACTCGGAGGAAACTGAGGCCGGGAGATGTCGAATGCCCTTCCCTGGCCACAGCGCCCGCTGGGGGCCGGGCCGAGGTTCTGGCCTCGCCAGCCAGCGGTCCGAGGGCTGTAGTCCCGGACAGTGAGGGCAGAAGGAAACCTGAGGGCTCAAGGGGACGAGAAGGGACGAGGAGGGCGCAGTCAGCTCCGTAGCAACAAACACGACAGAAAAGCCGGTCAGAAAAAAGAATCACCCCACCTTCCGAGAAGCCTGGTGGCACGTAGCCTTCCCGGCATGGGGTAACACAAGTGGGGTGGCTGGGCTCTGTTGAGACGCGAGTGAGAAGGAACTAGAGACGGCTTTGAAGACAGAGGTCATATAGATTTCATTTGCTTGCTTTTCACAACACGAACTTTCAAAAGCTGGTTTTTATAACTACTCCAACTTTGCAAATGACTGTTTGGCAGAGGTGCAAAGAAAAAAATTGCAAATGGAGAAGCCACTGAGATTGTGTGTTTTTGACTTGTTTATAGTAATGAGGAAAGGATTATCCTCTCCCTCTAGTTATATTTCAGTGTTTACCTAAACTCTGTCCTTCCTTTGGCAAAAGAAGGAAAAAAAAAATCCTATGTGGTAATGAGACCTTTAACAGGTGGGGTTTAGGCAACTTCGGTTTAGTAAGTATGTGATTAATGGAACCTTTTCTTCTTAGTCAAATATTTACTATTTGAGCACTCTTGCTGGTTTCTGTGCAATGCTGAGCCTTTCAAGGATTAAAAATGATGTTTTTACAACTAACAGAGCTCTGTCTTGACTTGCAGGGTTTACTTTCTCATATACGGAGGCTCAACCGAGGAGCAGCGCTATCTCACTGCTTTGCGGAAGGAAAAGGAAGCGTTTGAGAAACTCATAAGGTAATGCCCACGAGGCCACTGCAGAGGTCACAGTGCCCTTGAGGGCCATACAGGATCCAGAAGTTTCTCCAGTTCGGGGTGGGGGGGGCGCGGGGAGTGGTGGATATTTCTGGCCCTCAGGAGAGAGGGAGGGCAAGGAGTTGTGGGGAATCACACCAGGATAAGCCCTGCTCCGTGCGTCCCCCAGTGTCTATCCACACATTCATCCTTTCTCCTTTGCTGCCGTCTTGACTTGTTTTCAGAGGTTGAACTGGGTGTTCAGACTCTAAAAAGAACTGCCTTTCTATTGTAAAATAGAAGTCACCAGAAAGATAACTAAAATGACTTTTCTAAGAAACATGTTCTTACAGTTCCCACTCACTCATCCACATATGAAGCTTTGCCCCTTCCCTCTGAAGTCTGTTTTTTTCAATTGTCATGAACGTTCCCTTGTCTGTGCTTGGGTGAGCGCTGTGCTGTTTACACTGGGAAGTTCAGGTCCCCATCAATGTAGTCACTCCATGGGGAAGAAGATTTTAAAAGGTGTGACGTTGACCTGAACTCACATCCGTGTTTTTGAGAATAAGTGGCCAAAAGCATTCCAATCTTAACAGAAAGATTTTTCAGTTTAGTACAAGGAAGGTGTTGCTAAAGATGGTGCCAGCCCCTCGGCTGGCCGCCCCTGCCCCTGCAGGTGTTAGAGAACTCCACACCCCTCTAGGAATGTTGGCAGGGCCATGGCAGCTTATAAAAGAAGACGCATCCGATCATATCGAGGGGCCTCCAGAGCCAGGGGCAGGGCTGGCCGGGGTGTCCTTGGCCTGAGCTGTGGAAAGGCTCTACCATGGAACAGGCTGTGGCCCGGCCACACTGCCTCACCATGGCCGTGAGAGGGCAGACCATCACTAGTGGCAGACAGCCTGCCAGGGCCCAGGACAGAATTGCCAAGTGAACTACCATCCCCCTAGGCTGACCTCGCCTTCTCAGCCCAGGGCCTGTGTCCCCAGGAGCAGGGCGCTTCCCTTACCGACCCTCCGACCCTCCGAGTGGGACTCAGCACACCCTGTGGGCAGTCTCACCTCCCCTTCAAATCCTTGCAGCTGTGACATGCCTTGGCCATGATTTCTTCCAGCTTCTGGTCATAGAATAACCGGCCAGGCCCTTCAGCCCATGAAAATGTATTTTCTATTACCATGCTCCATTTACTATACTCGTTTATTATATTTTGTATATGTCAGTTTTTAGGAAAAACAAATCAAAAATAGCATCAGAACCAACAAGCTATTAGATAGGCTACCTCTTCTTGTCTAAAACATTTAGCACCTCCCTGTCTTGTGAGCCTCCCCTCTCCCCAGACTGAAATAGCCCTCAGGTAGTCATTGAGTATATGTTAATGTGCCAAGCCCTGTCCTAATATAAATGTGCTAGAGTTAAGTGGTGCAGAAAAAGTTCTGCCTCCTAGACTTTAACCTCGGGGGAAAGAGAAACCTTAAATAATGATGAATATTTTAATAAATGCAAGTGTGCAGTGAGCCACCAGCTGCAAAGGTAGAAGAAAAGGGGGTAGTGGGAACCACTGTGAAGGGGCACAGCCTGTTCTGGGGATCAGGGACGCCTCACTGAAGGAGTGGTGTCTGGGCTGATGTGTGCAGAATGTGTGCTGGTTGCTGGCGGCCAGGTGGAAGGGGATTAACCAGATGTGTGTGAAGGCTCAGAGGCAGACAAGGTTCTATTGAGGATTCAGAACTTAACTCTAAAGGCAGTAGGACAGCGTTGAAGGCTCACAGGACAGCAACATGCGTATATTTTTAAAGGTTCTCTCTGGCATCTGAGAAATAAGCGGAGCAGGGAAACTGGTCAGGAGATTACTGCAAGTGTCTGATAAGAGCAGGTGCTCAGCCAAGGTGAGACTGACAGAGGAGGTAGGCAGGCAGGAGGTGGAACAAAGAACTGGTAGTAGTGGGTGCCGGGCTGTGCCTCCTACCTGTTCCTTCACTCCTTTTAAAACAGTTTTCTCTGAAGCCTCTCTGACTGAAGTCATTGTCTCTAGTTTCAAATGAGCCCATAGAGCTCAAATACAATTATCCCTCGGGCCATTTATTGGTGTTTACTGGAAGGGTCGCAAGACCACCCTCAGGCCAGATGAGACACAGAACGGGTATACTACAGTTATGGCTTATTGCAGAGAAGGGTCAGATTAAATGTAGCTGTAGGAAAGGAGGCCCAGCCGAAGCCCAGGCCAGACTGGCTTCCAGGTCCTCCCCAGTGCAACCACACAGATGTGTCTGCTGCTCCCAGCAGCAATGAGGGCAAGCATGTGCTCCATGTTTTCAGCAGAGAACTCCCTGGAACCTCAGCCATCTGGTGTTTTGGGTTCATTTATTTGCTTTTTTTTTGGGGGGGGGGTCAGTGGGTCAGTTATACAGACACAGAGTACCCACATTCCAGCCCTCAGAGCAAACACAGGCATTCACCATAAATCACATCACAGCATAAACCATCTGACCAATACAGAGCCTCTTCCAGGCAGGCTGTTCTAAGGGCTCAGAGCTTATCTCCCAGAAGCTGGTAGAAGCCAGGCCTGAGGCTGGAGCCTCTCCTGGGAATTTGCGAGTTAACCCTTGCTGGACAGCTCCGTAGCCTGCTCCAGTCCCCGTGGGTGAGTTCTTGTGCTCTGGCCTTTCTCCCTGTCACTGCCTCTTCTCCAAGACTTCAGGGAGTCTGACCCAGAAAAAGAGCATTTTGAGTAGATTGTGGCAAAGTACCCAGGACTGGGGCTCTTCCGGGTCTGTAAGAGTGACTCCACACAGGAGAGGCTCGGTAACAATTGAGTCGGCCTGGCACATCCTGGAGACCTCACTCAGCAGAGCCTGGGACATGGCCCTCTCCTGCATTTCAATCCACAATAATTTCCAGACCACATTGTAATGCAATTTTACCTATGGGCTGGCATCATTTCTGACCTCTCTCAATGGTGATTATCTGCTTATTATAAATTAGATCTGCCCATGTTACAAAGCAATCAGATAGTAATACGACGTACAATCGTAAGATGCTTATTTCCCAGAAAACTTGGGGAATCGGAGAAGTGTTTGTGGTGAAAAGCAAAATCTATGGAGATGAACTGCTGAAAGAGTATTTGCACTGCGCCTGTAGACAGAACAGTTTCATGTGAGAACAGGATGATGGGCTTCTGCCAGGCCCTCTGCGGGTGACAGGAGACCAAAAGCGGGGTGCTACTATGCAAAATAACCAGAAAAAAAGGGAGGCAGGCAAACTGGCCGCCAGCGGGTGGCTGGAGTAAAGGTCAGTAGATTACAAACGATAAGCAATGAGAAAAAAGATTACACTTCTAAGTACCGAGCATAAAATGCTCCCGGGGTAGAAAAACCAGTAATAACATTCTGAGTGTGCATAGTTTGGGAGAGGTCACTGCTTTTCAAAGGAAAGTGTAAGGTGATTTGAAACTCTGCAGTTTGAAAATACCATGACGCTAGCATGAGACTTGAACAGCCGCCCATCTGGAGAGACTTGCAGTTCCGCGCGCCCTCCCCCCACCCCCACCCCCCGCGTGGCTCCCCACATGTCTCTGAAGCCAAGAAAGCGAAGAAGCGAAACCTCAGTCCCCTCGGTTAAGTAGAAGTAGGACTCGGAATATTTAAGTGACTAGAATGATTATGCCAGAGTTGAAAGCAAGTAACTGAATAATTACAATTTGAATAATTATAATTATGGCAAACTTGTAAATGCATTTGAGTTGCTCGCTGGAAGACTTGCTCTTTCTTCACCACCCAACTTTCATTTCACAGGCCTGTTTTTGTCAGATTCAGTTTTCAGTTTCACAGTCATCTAGAGTTTCCTATAACTATTTAAACAGTTATGGAATCATTTGAAGGTCAGTCAGGTTTTTAGCGTAATCCTGCATAATTAGGGGACAAGGTCACTGAAGTCTGAGGGAAGGACGGTGCTAATAGCAGCTGGCATGTCGCAGTGCTCCTGGGAGCCCGGTTCTCTTCTCAGTGCCTCATGCATGTTCTGTAAACCTCACAGGTCTTTGGGGGTGGATTTTTTTTATTATTGTCCCGTTTTCCAGATGAACTTAAAGAACAGAGCCAGTGAATGCTTTGCCCAAGGTCACAGGGCTAGTGGGAGGTTTCAAATGCAGGAAATGTGCATCCAGGACCCCCCCTCATCCCCCCCCTCCAGTCCCCTGTCCACGCCCTACAACCGCTCAGGCCTCAGGCGAATCAGGACGTGGCCCAGCCAGTGGAAACACAGGCAGGAGGAAAAGAAGTTGAAGAGCAGAACCTGTTGGGGTAGGTTGTCCTCTTTCGGGTCTCTAGTAGCTGTGAGGCAGCAGTGATGAGTGACCGCCAGATGCTGTGATGAGGTAACGCCATGCGATGGAACTGGAACCTTGTGATCTCTTTATAGAATGGGGCCCCAGTCATAATTTTGCCTTTGTATGTTATTCTGAAGCAAGTGGAATTCCAAGGGGTAGGTTCTGTCCAGAGCGGGCCCTGCTCTGAGACACGGGAGGTGAGAGGTTTGCTCCATCTGATTTCATTTACTTTCACTGAAGAAGGTTTGTTGTTTTCACCTGGCTGAAGTGACCACTTATTGCTGGAGATTCCTCTGGCGTCTCACCTTGCGCTAGGCCCTCCGGTGGACATTGGCCAGGCCCATGGTTTTTCCCAGGATTGCTGTTTCCTCAATGCAGTTAGTTGCCAGCCTTGCAAGGGCCCAGGCAGGTGCCTCAGACTGGCTGCAGGGGACTGCCGAACCCCCCAGTCAGGCGGGCAGCTCATAAAACGAGTCACAGGAAGCTTTGGTCTCACCCTGCATATAAAAGTTATGTTTATGTGATGCTACAGTCTCTTAAGTGTGCAGTAGTCTATTAAGTGTGTGACGGTAAGTGTGCAAAAATGTCTAAAAAACAATTTATATACCTCAATTAAAAAATAATTCATAGCTGGGGCCTCCCTGGTGGCGCAGGAGTTTTGTCTCCAACCTCTGTTGCCTGAGTTCAGTCCCCGGCCAGAGAGCTGCAGATCTCTCCTGCTCACCCACTGCCGCCCTGAGCAGTGCATCTCAGTAGGTCCATCTGCTCTGCTCCCCACTCTGTCCCTAGTGCATCCTCTCACCCCTCACACCTCTGGTCTACACCCCAGCTCTTGTATGCATATGCAAATAAAAACAAATCTCTAACAAGTAACAATAATAATTCATTACAATACAGTAATAATTCAATACAATACAGACAGGCACAAAGTGAGTGTGTGCCCTCCGGAGCCAGCAGACTTCCCCCGACACGCACGCAGGCTTGCGCGTGATCGCCTCCGAGCACAATTGAGTGAAGCTGTGGTGAGGCACGCCTGTCCCTTCCTGTCAGGCCCGCACACGGGGCTGCCCGGGACTCGCCGTTTCCTGAGCTGCCCCAGCCTGCGTCACTGCTGCGGGAGCATTCGGCCACAGCAGACCGGCTCACTCTTCCTTTGGTCATCGAGGGTCTCGCCATGACGGTGGTTCCCGACGCCGAGCCTGAGTCATGACCGTGTCACGGTCCATCCCCTGCTCCGAGACGCAGGGCCAGCTTCCAAGGCAGCACGGCCTGCACAGCCTCCTTGAGCCGCAGCACCCCGTGCGGCCACGGAGCACCCCGCAGTGCTTCCACGTAGCTTCGCGAGTCCATGAACTCATGTTGCTCCCGTGGCATAACCCGCGACGTGGGTTTTGTTTAACTCTAATGGAAATTCACTTTCTTGTATTCACCTTGATTCTCCTTTAACACGGAGAGGGCGTAATGGGCCTCTCATCTGGAGCTCTTTAAAGCAAAGTTTGGTGTCTTGTACTTTTTTTTACAATCACTGACTTTGAACAACGCTCAAATTGTTTTCAATTGCTCCGAAAACACTGGCATATAATTATTTAAAATTTTCATAATGCTCGATGACATGTTGGGCTCCCTGACAGTGGTAGCCGTCTCTGTGACACTTTTGACATGACTACGTCATGTCTCAAAGCGCCCGAAGGATGCGGGGCATAGAAAACAAATAGCTGCTTCCCCTCTGGGAGGTCAGGATGAAGACCCACCCGAGAGAGTCGCCCGCTCCCTTCACCGTCGCTCGCGAGCGTACACACATCTAAAGCAGCTGAGCGCTGCGACCCTGGCACCCCGGGCCTGGGCACCCCGTTTCACAAGCAGCCGGGTAACGATGCCTCAGTGCACGAGACCCTGAAGCCCATGGCCCTCCTCACGCATGACCCCTCAGCTGCCAGGGTGGCAGCGCTCAGTCCATCTAGTCACTTAGAAACGGTTAAAATCTAGAAGTGTGACATCAGTTCAAAGAATGTTTAAAACGTTTCTCTGCCCAGGGAAAAGGCCAGCATGGTTATTCCTGAAGAAAGAGAAGGCAGAGATGAAACAAACCTGGACCTGGCAAGGGGCTCCGTGTCAAGCCAAGCTCCCACCGACACACGCAAGGCAGGTGAGTGTCCCCACCCCACTGGCACCCCCACCTGTGACGGAGGCAATGAGGGTCTCAAGTCTCTCCAGAGGCCTGGCTTTTCGTCATCCCCTAACGGTGGAGGTCTGCTCCCATGCCTCAGCTGAGCGCTGCCACTTACCAGCCGCGTGTCCTTCCTGGATCTGAGGCTCCTCTTCTGGAAAACAAGTGGTGTCATGTTCTAGGGTGTTCTAGGCCCCCAACTTCACAATTAGAGTCCAGCATTGCTTTTAAATGTGGTTGGTTGAGACCCAAAGAAACTTTTGTCACTGGTGACTAGGTTCCTCCCTCAATCTGAACAAGCCAGGCGAGCTCAAAATAACAGGACTCATCCGGGCCACCTCCCACTCCTCTTTGTCAATCTGTGAATTTTGGTACTTCTCAGGTCAGAGGTATGTGTGTGCTTGGCCGCGCAGCATGCCGTCTCTGAGCCCCCAAGACACGCCACACTCCCCACGCTCCATGGTGTGGGGGTATTCCCCTCCCAGAACCCCGCTCCCCAAGGAAGCAGCTGAGAGCGGCCAGGCGACATCAGAAAAGCAGTGTGGTTGCATGACTCAGCCTCTTGTGGGGTTGCATGGGTAGGGCTGTGGGCTTCAGGGTCTAGTGCACTGAGGTGTTGTTACCCGGCTGCCTATGAAATGGGGTGCCCAGGCCCAGATCCATTGCACCCTGACTTGGTGGCTCGCAGCAGGGTCAGCACTCAGGGCCTTCTGCTAGAAGTGGTCCTTGGCCTGGAAGTTGGGAAATGCGTGTCCAAGCACGTGTCTTTCTGGAAGAGCCTGACTCCTCTGAGGGGTGGACATGTCCTGCGGAGCGGCAGTGTAAGGCGGTCACAGCAGAGGAGGGTGGCTGAGCAGCCGGTGCCACCCAGGAGGCTCTGCAGAAATCTGCTTTTGAGTCCACCCTCCAGCCCTTGTATTCAAATGTTTCCTGTGGCTGCAGTCACAAACTACCATGAATTTGGTGGCTTGAAACGACACAGATTTATTGCCTCACAATTCTGCAGTCCAGGTGGGCTTCCCTGGCTACTGTCCAGGTGTCCGCAGGGCCGTGCTCCTCCTGCAGCCTCTGGAGAGAGCCCCTCCCGCCTGCCCTCTGCTGGCCGCCATGTGTCCCCTGGCTCCTGGCCCCTCACAGCCAGCCAGTCTGCCTGACCTTCCTGCCGCCCTCCCTCGCTCCCTCGCCAGGACGCTGGGCCTGCCTGGCTCATCCAGAATACCCCCCAACCATAAGGCCTTTAATCTAGTCACATCCGCAAAGTCGTTTTACCATGTAACGTAGCATGTGACGGGCCTCAGGGATTAGAGCGTGGTCTTTAGAGCCCGTTGTCCGGCCGTCAGCAGCCCTGGTGAGATCCCTGAACCAGCAGCATCAGCCTCACTGTGCCTTGCTAGAAGCACCCCGACCCAGGCCTACAAATACAGCCTGCCCTGCACCCCCACAGGATGCTGGGGAGCCCCGGCTGAGGGCTCCTGCATTTCCCGCTCCCTCCATGTCCCCATCCCTGGACTCGCTGACATGAGCCCTAAAAGCTCCAGAAGGGTTCCCAGCGAGTTGCAAGGCAGCAAGCACTTTTAAGCACCTGCTGTGTGCCAGCCAGGCTCTGTCCCAGGAACTGGGCACCCCGTGGGCAGCGCGGTGGCTCCTAGGGGCGGCAGGGCCTGCGGACGTTCGCGGGCACTTCTGAGTGGCCAGAACTGTGGGGCCCCCTGACCATCCTGCCCCTAAGGAATGGGCATTGCCTTGTTGAACTTGGTAAAGAAATCTTTCCCAAAACACTGAAAAAAGCGAGGTTTTAGCGATCTGAAAGGGTGCTCGCCCTCCCGGGAGGTTCTGGGGTGACAGCCCGTTAAACTCGGCCTTTCCCCGCCAGGCGGCCAGGAGCAGCAGGGCGCCCCGCAGCGCGTGGTGGTGGACATGCGGGAGTTTCGCAGCGAGCTCCCCTCGCTGATCCACCGCCGGGGCATAGACATCGAGCCTGTGACCCTGGAGGTGGGTGACTACATCCTGACCCCCGAGATGTGCGTGGAGCGCAAGAGCATCAGCGACCTGATCGGCTCCCTGAACAACGGCCGCCTGTACAGCCAGTGCGTGGCCATGGCCCGCTACTACCCGCGGCCGCTGCTGCTCATCGAGTTCGACCCCCGCAAGCCCTTCTCGCTCACCGCGCGCGGGGCCTGGTACCCGGAGACCTCGGGCACCGACGTGAGCGCCCGGCTCGCCCTGCTGACCCTGCACTTCCCGCGGCTGCGGCTCCTCTGGTGCCCGTCCCCCCACGCCACGGCCGAGCTGTTCGAGGAGCTCAAGCTGCAAAAGCCGCAGCCCGACGCCGCGGCCGCCGCGGCGGTCACGGCCGACTCGGACACGCTGCCCGAGTCCGACAGGTACCGCCCCGGGCCCCAGGACTTCCTGCTGAAGATGCCGGGAGTGAACGCCAAGAACTGCCACGCGCTGATGAACCAGGTCGGGAGCCTCGCGGAGCTGGCACGCCTGTCGCAGGCCGAGCTGGCGGCCGTTCTGGGCAACTCCGCCAACGCCAAGCAGCTGTACGACTTCATCCACACGCCCTACGCCGAGGTGGTGACCCGGGGGAAGGGGAGGAAGTGAGGCGCGCCCGCTTCCCGCCCGCGGGTGCTTTCGGGGGGGGTCCCGGCCCAGGTTCCGCCTTGAACGTTGCCAGGGGGGCCAGACCTGCGCCCTCCGCCCTGCGCCTGCCCGCCAGGGCTAGGGCTGTTTGCTTTTTGAGCTGTGTCCGCAGCAGGTAACGTCGCCACGCGTGTTTAGGCAGGTCCTGGAACAGGCAGCAGGAGCCTGTGTGCCCCACCCAAACCGACCAGACACTCCGCTGTGTTCCCCCTCTCCGCAGAGGGCCCCCGGAGCGCCGAGGGGGACGCGCTCTGCCCTCCCCACCCTCCCTCCACTGTGTTTCCCTCAACTCTCAACTTCTTCCACCTGCCTTTCCCCCCGAGGAGAAGTGTGGGCATCAGCTTCCCACCCTGGCTGAAGATGGTCCTCTGGCCTGGCCCCTTCACTCTCTGGCCATCTTATCTGCGCAGTATGTCCCCTTGGTTGTTCTGAACCAGTATTTTAAAACACGCAATGAATTACTTGTTTGCCAGGATGTGTGGGTTACGTGACGATGCCCTTAGAATTCTGTTTCTGCAGATAGCCAGGCTCCCAAGTCCCAGAACCCTGAGGCCCAAGTGGCTAGTTACAGCCTCAGAGGCATCCTCGCTCCGGGCCTCCCAGCCTCTCTCCTAGGTGTGAGGCACCAAGTGTGGGCGCCTCCCCCCGGCCCCCCACCCCCAAGGCTTTCACTCCTGTGCTACAGTCTGTGTGAGGGTCAAATGCAAGCCCGCGAGCGGCCCAGCAAGATGCCAAGGTGCCATCTTCCCTGCATTGGAGTAAAAGGGTTGTGAGTGCAAGATCCACCGTACCACACAGAAACATTCTGAAGAAGTAGGTATATATTTTAAAATCAGTCAAAATAGCAATCTCATTCCAAACCTCCTTCCCATTGAACTAGACTTAGCTTTGTACTGAAGTAGACATACGGGACAGTCATAGCATCTTTGCGTCGTTTTTAAA